TTTGAGCAACAATGGACCTTGGGGAGGGAAGAGGTGGTCAACTTGGGGAAGAAGACCCCCTTTATATAGTGGGGGGAAAGATCCAACCGTTACCCACTTATTTAGCCCGCGACATGCGGTACTATCGCACAGACACGCGGTACTACCGCAAGGGGTTGAGGTACTACCGCTAGACCGTGTGGTACTACCGCTCGCGCGGCAGAGACCAGACGAGGCCCTGTTGCGTATAGCAACGAGCGGTAGAACCACCGGAGCGGTACTACCGCGCGCCCTTGCGGTACTACCGCAAGTCAGGGTTCAACTCGGCTGGGAAGGTACGGACTAATAAAATTACATCTGTGGCCACTTCTGCTGAGTTCCGGTCTATGCGAAAATCCGGCACGGTACTACCGTTCCCAGGGAGCGGTACTATCGCGTAGGGCGCAGAAGTAAAAAAATACTTCCGCACCTACTTCCGTGCGTGCCAGCATTCTGGGCTAGAGGTCACGGTACTACCGCTCGAGAGGAGCGGTACTGCCGCACAACGCGGTACTACTGCTTCCCTTGGCGGTACTACCGTGGACAGCTGCGGTACTACTGCTCCCTTGAGCAGTACTACCGCACGCCACAGAAACTATAGCACTTGGAGGCCTTCGTCTTCGCATAGAAAAGGGTAAACGACCGGTGCTCCAATGTAGCGAAGGAAAAGTGGTGCAAAGAAACAGATGTGTACGTGTTGATTCCACCCTAACCTTTCTTAAGTGGACCCCCTCTTAATAGTATGGCTTTCTACGACTCAAATCCACCGAAAGGAAACGTAGAAAACCGCCATCTTCGATAGGCTCCGAGGGGCGCCGAATCGTCTTGTGCCTAGACATGAGATCTCTGAAAAGCTCAATGCACACGATTAGTCTGCAAATGCATTCTCATCAATCACCAAAACTACATAGGGAGAAATATGCCCTTACATGGAGGAGTACTATCGTAGCTCCGAAGACCCAAAGGGGAAGGGCCCGACGAGAAAGTGGTGAACTCCAACGCCACCTATTTATGTTGTAGTCATACCATAGCTACGTTTTAAGTCGTAGTTCATCATAGATCCTAGTTAGTTGATCCATGTTTTGTGAACTTGTTATGTTTTATTTCCGGTTGCACGATGAACTTGCTATGTCTGATGATATGTTGTGTGTTAAATCTTGGTACGTTAAATGTTGCACGGGATGTATGAATTCGATTTTTTGAGGGTTTGGATATGAGGAGGGTGGCTGTAGATGCGGATAAATGACGGATGACTGGCACTATCCACAGACATAGAGGGGCTCATATTACGCAAGTCCGGTTGTAAATGCTCCAATACTCTAAGGAATCGCGTGGAAAACTCTCCCCTTTGATACAACTTTTGGATTTCACATATTGTCTATTTAGATCTTCTCTCTATTGAATAAATTTAGATACTCCATCCGTTTCAAAATACTAAGTTATAGGTTTAGTCCTAAGTCAAACTTGTTTATGTTTGACCAAGTCTATAGAAGAACCCCTCCATCAAATCCCTGCAAGGAAAATTAATGGGAAAAGTTAAGGGAAAATGGAACAAACCAGGATCATTATAAATAGGAAATAGGAAACCCTGTATAAACCAACAAAACCCACCCTAAATTCCAAAGGAAAAGTTAATCACACACCATACAACATCTTCAACTGTGATCCGCAAAAGGGAAAAGATACAGTCGAACAATGTCACCGAACAATGTCGCCGAGCATAGTACACCCTAAAAAAGAGAGGACGACAGAGAACTAACCACCGGGAGGGGCCCGACGACAACAACCATAATGGTAACAGAGAGACGCGGTACAATGGAGGCAACACGAGAAGGAGGAGCAACAAGACGCACAACGAGTCATTCCCTTCGATGACGGCACACCACGTGTCGAACGAACACATGTCAAGGTGTGACGTCGTGCCACTTATACTGAGAAGCGATGCGGTAACCCAGCGAGTATCCTTAGGTCATTTCTAACAGATCCCCTAAAAGTTAAGTGAGGATCCGGCGAAGCAAAGTTAGTGGAGGATAAATTTACTCCACTAACGGTGGCCGCACCTAGCCAATCCCCTATACTTAGTGGAGTAAAAACAAAATTGTGTAGATTTTGTGTCTTAGCCGCATGAACTTCAAACAGTTCACAATATAAAAACATTCAAATTAAAACATGCATAACATAACTATTATAACATATAGTTTCATCATCACGAATTTCAATTAAAAACATGCAAAGTTCACCCAAAAGGCATCACTTCAAACACAATATTTGATCCAAAATCACCACAAACATAGTATGTATATGTTGTGGATTGATCCAACCAATGGCATGCACGAACTCAAACAAGGTGCTCGGCAAAGAAAACATCACCACCACCACCCCCTCGGCCACCACCGTCACCCCCTTGGCCGCCACCATCACCACCATCACCCCTTCAGCCACCACCATCACCACCACCACCACCCTCTCGGCTACCACCATCACCACCACCAACACCATCACCACCACAATCCCCTCAGCCACCACCAACATTCTGAAGAGAGGCTTCCAAGACCTCTCCACCAGTCCCAATACTATCTTGCGGTTTCATCCATTGTGTTTGGATTCACAAACATGATAGCACGTTCTTTGGAGTTCTTGGCATCATGAATCCTCTTCTCCTCAAGTGCAAGCCTACGCTCCTCCGCCATCACCTTCCTCTCTTCGGCCGCCAACTTGGCCTTCCGCTTCTCATCCTCCAACATCTTTAGCTCATTCCACCTCGCCGTCTTCTCTTCTTAGCATTCGGCCGCCAACACCTTCTTGGTCTCAGTCGTGGCCACAAGTTTTTCTTTGTAAGTGCCACCGAACGCATTTCTCTTCTTTCTTTCTTTCTTTTGCAATCTTGTTACCTTTCATTTTATTGTTGGCAGCTTTGTCAACCTCGTCCTCCTCCTCAACGGATATGCTCAACCCTGATCTCTTTGGAGTGGTCTCCATGATTCTTTCGATCCACTTCTCGTTCTTGCATAGCTCTTTGTAGCAATGAGGCAATGTGAAGGGCGTGTGGCCGAACTTGGTGTTCCTATGCTTGAATAGTTCCTGGATGTAGGCGCCATACTCCACCACTTGCACATCGCTCGGTGGTGCATGATTCACTTGGTTGATGCAACCGGGCCATCGGTTGCATTGGTCACGAATGGTGCTCCAACGATGCTCAAGAGAACCTTGTATACAGCTCGATTGCACGTCCACAGAGTTGTTGTGGTGCTCGGTAATTCTCTCCCAAAACATAGTCTTCGTTTGATCCGTTCCAATCATTGCATCCATGGAGATGTTCATCCAAGCATAACAAAGAGCACCATCTTTTTTACTGTAGTTGATGGTGCGTGACCTTGACGGACGCATGCTTGCTTCGGTCACCTCTGCAATCTCCTCTTCATCGCTCGCCTCTTCATAGGCCGACACCTTCTCGGCCTCCTCTTCCTCGACCACCTCCTCCTCTTCGACCACATCCTCTTGCTCCATGTCTTGGGACGCCTCCTAATGATTCCTAATGAAGTCATAGTTGAGCTCATCAAGTCTCATGGTGGCCGAGTACTCCAAAGACGCTAAGAACTCGGTCGTGTTCATCTCTGCACAACAACAACGAAACAAAGAGACTACATCACCATCGGCTACCAACAATCATCGATCGTCGGAAATGCGAAAGATGTTTTACCTTGTCAGAATTTCATCGAGCACTTGGCGCCCGTGACCCTTAGTGCCGGCTGCAGCCGCCGCTTGCGCGAGAGCAGTGTCCGTATGGGCAAGCGGAGTAGCTGCACAAGGCCCCGCCCTTGGACGGGCCGCCGTTGTGGCCTTCTTCTTCTTCATGTCCGCCTCGGCGAGGGACGCCGCCATCGGTTTTCTTGCTCTTTTTGCTCGTTGGCGGCAGGAGGACGGCGGTACGTTGCGGGAGAGGTGGCCACCACACTGGCGGCCATTGCCGCGGCCGGAAGCGGAGCTTGAACCCGGTGGGTTTCTTTGATCCCAAAGATTTTCTTCGGCGCGGGCGACCTGCGTGGGTGGCTTCCGTGGGCGGCGGCCAGCGGGCAAGGGGAGGGTCCGGGCTATCCATCCCGGCCAGAGGGAGGGTCATCGGTGGCAGCGGCGGGAGCGAGGGTGAAAGAAGAAGAGGCCGCAGCGGGAGTGAGCATATTTATTAGGGAGATTGGGGGGATTTTTCGGCGACGGAAGATAATTCACTATACCGGTTAGGTGCCGTAAGGGGGTATAACTGAGTGTATCCTCCTTACGGCCTTATTGGGGAATGGTTAGAAATGCCCTTAACTAACGATTTCGATATAAGCATATACTGTCTACAGAAAATATGTGATCCAGAAGAAAATCCAACCCAAGCATGACAAACAGGGATCCATCCACAGGCAAACGATCACCAAAAATTTTGAACCACTCAAGAGCATCACAACGGGCACACGAAATCCCCGCTGTTCTCAATGTCGATGTCGTCGATGTCGTCGAAATCAATGTCATCTAGATCCATGCTCCCCAGGCAGGCAACCTGCCCAGCAATTCCTAGGGCGTTATCACCCGGTTTCTGTGCCTCGTGGATGATCGCCATGGCTTCTTCCATGCTCTGTGACGGCGTGTTCATGTCTGCCAACTGCATGCTCCTTTGGTACTCATCGGTCATCTCAACGGGCAGTTGTTTGAGGAACCATGGATGGTTCTTGATCTCCGGCATGGTTATTCGCTGCACGCAAATACAAATGTGAGTGCTACATGACCAGGAACTGAACTATTCCAGGACAAGAATATACAACCTGCTGAGGATTTCCAATGAAAATGCGGGACAGCAGATGCATGCAGTCCATCGAGACTCGAACGTAGTCCGGAACAGAGTACTGTACGCTGAGTATCCTCTGTGGAGGACAAGAGACCAACAATTATGTTTTGTAGCAACACAGTGAGAGGCATCAGATAGAGATGATGCAAAAGTTTCATGAAAGATAAGGTGGGAAAGGGTGTGTACTCACAGAGATTGTTTTCCGGAAGTTCCTCGGCTCATCAGGGTCCTCGAAAGGATATGCCCCGACAAGCATCACATAGAGCGTTACTCCGCAAGACCAAACATCGGCGACCTGAGATTACAAGAGCTGGCATCTGAATACTTCACATCACATCTGGTACTTGAACCATTAAAATCATGCCGTAGCGGCGAAAATTCATACCTTTCCATCATACTCCCTTCTGGAGAGGACCTCCGGGGCGATGTATGCCGGCGTGCCGACAGTTGACTTCGGTTGAGAGTGCAAGACAGAAGACTGAAATGAAAGAGTCGAAACAAGGGTCCTGGTTTAGGCCATGAAAACGCAACATTCAGACGTTTTTATCTGCACGGCAATACCTTGGAGTAACCGAAGTCACAAATCTTGAGTCGAGGCGCAACACTACCATCCAAGAGAGTATTTTCTAGTTTCAAATCTCTATGGCATACTTGCTGCAGTCAAAAAAAAAAAGATGGCATATTGTGTGGTGATCGTTTGACTTAAGCTGCTATCTGCAAGTTGGATTGGCAGAGTACTACGTACCATAGAGTGACAATAGCTCACTCCAGAAATCAATTGTTGGAAGAAGAACCTTCCCTGTTAAGAATAATGAGTAAGTAACAGTTAACGTATTTATATGTAACCATTTAAGGAAGTTCCAAAGGTCGTTGCAAATATGTATTATCTACCTCATCCTCGCTAAATCTCCCTGCGTTGCAAATCCTTTGAAATAGCTCGCCGCCAGAGGCATATTCCATAACTATTGCCAAATGTGTGGGAGTTAGCACGACCTGAAAAACTAAGCACGTTTAAGCATGAATTGAAGATTAAAGCTTTGATAAGCAGGCCGAGAATTCAAGATGATCAGGGAGAAAACAGCTAGCTGCATTCACAAGCTCAGTTGATTCCAAACTCTCCACCCAATGAAAGATTATACTCCCTCCGTCCCGAAATAAGTGACTCAACTTTGTACTAATTTTGTACTAAAAATAGTATAAAGTTGAGTCACTTATTTTGGGACGGAGGGAGTATATTCTTTAATGGAAATACGTAAGGATCTGAAGTAGTCCAGATCAGGAATGTGCATATGAGATGATATTTCTTCCCATGCAAGAATTTCATCTCTATGGAAAATCAAGTTTTTTTGTTTCATTAAAAATGAAGTTCTTCCCATCCAAAAGGAAATGTTTATACCCTCTAAAAACATATGTATGTCATTTTTGTACTGGTTAATTACCCGCTAAATCATTAATGGTCTAGTTACATGAGCTAAGCAATCAGGTATGTGGAAAAAAAAGCCAAAGTATGGGGATGCAAATCTAAGTAACGAGTTAACTTGCCTGACTAGTGCAGGACAGTGCAAGGAGGAAGAAAATGTTAAGCTGATAAGCATTTAACAATTCAAAGCAAGTAGTCTAATACTCCCTCCGTTCCTTTATTTAAGGTGCATTTTTTGGGGCACGGTGACCAAGGCACATATTTGAGGAGAATTTTGGACAAAAATACCCTTAGCTAATCAGGCAGTTAGCAGGTTAATGAGCGATAAGTAAGTAACTAGGGACCCAATAGAAGGCAACTA